TTTTTTTTTTTTTTCCATTCAGAGTATCTCTTTAGTCGCGAATGAAAAAAAAAAAAATCTCAAGACGAGTCGGCGCGAATCGATGAATGAGCGCTTTTTTTAATTAGAAAGCCCGCACGTTTTAATTAAAAAAATCTCTGCGTTGCTTATTTACAGAGCAAGAACGAAAGAGAGAGAGAGAGAGAAAGAGAGAAAATTAATAGCCGGGCACGAGCCTGTTCAGCGGCTCGATGCCTTTCAGAATTCATAAATGACCTCGAGCAAGGTGTAAGTTTCGCGAGAAAAATCATTTCACGAAGAAGAAATTTTAAATTCGATCGAGCGTAACTTTGTAGGGGAATCTCGATATCTTTGATAAAGCAAAAAGTTACGCGATGTGATTTTGCAAACATTGAATTTTTCCTCCTTTCCTTCGAGCCCTTTTCGTTGCATATTTTTATAAAACATGGAAATTTTTTTCCACGGCACAACGGGGAACGCTATAGGAGAATAAACAGACTTGGAAATTTCTAAGGAAATGCAATCCTAGAGATTCTTTATCCACGTGCCTTTTAAAAATCATCTTATTCTCCTTCCCTCTCTCACAAAGCGAGTCGAAATGCTCTGTCGATTCTTGCCTTCGATATAGATTAAAGGCGGAGAAACAAGGAATTGTAACAGTAGCTTTCTTTTTTTTTTTTCGATGTTTATATTTACATCGATTGGACAAAATTTTTCAAATCCAAGAAAAAGTTCTTTTTTTTTTTTTTTCACCATCGATCGAAAATTTGTGGTGCATATATTTGCACCGTTTCACTTCGTTCGAATAAAATTTTGTTCGATTTTGACGACAGGTCTTCGTTGATTTTCAGAAGGCGAAATTTGATCGATGTAACGTATAACGTGGAATCGTCGATCAATGTAAACTTTTTCACAATGCAGTACAAATAAATACGTATTTTAGATTTTTCAACTGAGACGAATTCTCAGTCTCGCAAGCCAATTCTTCTTTCTCGATCGTCACACCTTCTATTCGTGAATATTTAACTTTCCGTCTCGAGCAAAATATACCCCTTCATACGTACTTAAAAAGAAAGATACTCGAACGAGCAACTCTGCCTTGCGCGAAATATTTTCCGCCATCGTGGCGAATTTCATTTCGCGCACGTATACGCGTATAGAGAGGATGGAAAGGGAAGAAGAAGGATCGAGTGGGCGGAAGAAGCTTGCTTGGTCCCAGAGTGCTCTTCCGGCTTGTCGTAATTAATAAGATCGATCCTTCGCTTCGCAGCTTCATCGCGGCGAGTCCACCTTCCTCTCTCGTCTCGTCGTTTATGGCGAGATCCGCGAATTTCCCACGCCTCCCCTCCCCGTCCGAGCCGTGGAAAGGTCAATGGGCCGATGTTCGAACGAGGCTGGGGGAATATAGGGCAGCGCGGGCAGAGGGTGAGACGCGGACACCCCCAACGCGGATCCCGCGTGTACTCAATTCATACATTAATTCCGAGGGTAATCGAGCAGGTGGATCGTGTTTCGAGAGCGATCGAAAACTCTTCTTTAAGCTAATCTGCTCTCCTGCTTTTTTCTTTTTTATTTTCGATTTCTTTCTCCGCTTCCGTGTCGAGAAAATGCGAATACGTTGAACGGTATTTAAAGTCGGAAGGAGTGAAAGGAGATTTTGTTTTGGATACGACAGTGGACAGGAAGTTGGCAGAAATGCCATCTGGTGGGTCCGTGTATTAAATGCTAGAATGAAGGTTAGAAGTTGTAAGAAAGAGATTGTTCTTCTGAATGATGTGAGAATAATAGTGAGTTAATTTTTTTAGGATT